CAAACAATATATACAAAACCACTTCTCTAATTGGACTGCCTATAAACTAATTAATTAAACACTTTTTGATAATTTTTGGCAACAACAATATCAACCACAAGCTTACATCAATCCTAACTGGTACAATTCTCTTATCTCTTCAATTGCAATTGAAGAGGTAACCTCAATCATTTCTAAGCTCCCAAATAGCAAAGCCTGTGGACCTACAGACATTAGCTATGAAATAATTAAGCACTCTAATACTACATGTTTTCAAACTCTTACAGTTCTCTTTAATCTTTGCTTTACTCATTGTCAAATTTTAAAACAATAGAAGAACAGTAGAGTTTACTCCATACCAAAATGTAACACTTTTGATAGCAATCTTAATCTTACCTGCTCTATTAGTTTAGTTGAACACATTCGCAAAATCTATACTAAACTTATTACAAACAGACTTAATACTGTATTTTAGCAACATCTTATCTTATCTTCTTTTAACTATGTTGCCTTACCTGGAAATTCTACAGCTATTCCTATACATATTCTTAATAATTTCATCGAGGATGCTACTTGCTATCAAAAAGACTTATGGCTTTTGTCTCAGGATATAAGCAAAGCTTATGATTCTGCTAATTTTTCTTTACTCCAACATTCACTTACTAGCCTTGCTCTTCTAATACCTATCATCAAAATTATCATGAACATCTTTACAAATCACTACAATCAGGTCATAACTAACCTTGGACTAACTTCCTCATATCCTGTTCAAAATAGTATTGATCAAGGTGAAACTATTACTCCACTTCTCTGAAGAATATATTATAACCCACTGATATCCTACATTTACTCTCAAGTTCCTGGCTATACTATGCAGACATCTTAGATTAGTAATTTAAAAAATAGATCTTTTAATAAACTGCAAGCCAGATGCTCAGTACTGGCCTATATGGATGACATTCTATGGCTTGCTTTTTCACAAGATGAACTCTCACAAATTTTCTCTATTGCTCAATCTTTCTATACAATGGCCAACATCCAAGTTAATCCCTCTAAATCCATTCTCTGTACAAACAATCCACCTTCCTCTTATAATCCTATTATCTATAATCTACACTTTCTACATTTACATTTACTTCACATACCTTTTAAATTTCTTGGATGCTGGTTTACACTTGACAACAAATATAAAAAAACAACTCAACTTGTTATTGATGAATTACTACACCTTATTCAAATCACAGATACAAAATGTATTACTGATACTCATGCTAGTTATATTATCAATACTGTAATAATACCTACTATTGAATACCGACTACATAACCTTGTCCTTGATCAACTTGTAACAAAATATTATTACATCACATTGGACTTGTAAAACACAAAGCTAAGCTAAGCCGCACTATTCCTACAAGCACTCTTCTAAATCCCCACTTTTATAACATTTGCAATATCTGGGACATTCAACTTCAACACCATCAAGCAAATTAACAATTATGATCTCTTAGACATTAGCTCTCGAATTCGTCTCCAACAACTTCAAAACAATCTTTGGTTATCTATAAACATTTTGACACATCCTAACCCTATTATTAATGGCCCTAACAAACACACAACTAACTTCAAGATTATTAAGCTCTTCAAGCATCTTAATATATCAATTAACAACAATCTAATTTATGATATCCCATATACTTCTCAAGAAGGCTCTATATCACTTGAATCTATTCTCTCTTTACATTCTGACTATTCTACTTTTAAGAAACAACTTCAGTAACACCATATTCTTTACTTAAACCAACTTCTAACTTATAACAACTCCTGTCTCCTTAGCTGTGAGCATGTTGCACCAAGACTTCACAAAATTCCTTGAGGAAGAAAACCTTTATAGTTTACAACTCTTGAAGATCAAATAACTAACCATCAGCTCAACAGAACACTTTATAGTTACTACAACCTTCCTGATACTAATCATTATAACTTTTCTACTGGTCACTTTTCTTTAAAATCAAAATCATGGCTTATAACTACTATTGAAGACCAGATAATAATTAGTAAAGCAAGAAGACAGCCTACCTTAACTAGTCTTGTTCTTATAACACACTGGCAATGCTCTTTTCAATTACAATTCACCAAACTATATCCAACACCTCCTATTAATATTAAGCTATGTTCTGGCTGCTCTCATAACTGTAAACTTATTATCAATAGATATACACTTTTTATTCTAATTAATTTAGCATCCAAATTTTTTTGTACTTACAACTCAATGAACAAAACTATTAAACTCTACACCAACTTTTTAGACCTAATATACTCTATTGCTATTCGTCATCTCTTTTATATTTCATCTGCTCCCAACATTCTCCATAATGTTGCTTCAATTCCACCTATTTTTGAATCTGGGCCCTCTACTAATACTCTTCAAACTATTGCAAACTCTAATACTCAGCTCTCTGAAATCTCTTTCTATACAGATGGTTCTGTACTTGACCTTGGCTCACCTAACTATTCAATGGGTATCGGATGGATACAGATTCATCAAGAAAATATATTACACAGATTTTAAGCACAAATCAAATACTGGCCTTGTTCCTTCAAAGCAGAACTTGTTGCTATACTTTCAGCAATTATTACAGCTCCTAGATTTTGTACTGTTCATATCTTTACTGATTCACAATCAGTTATTTCCAAATATAATAGTCTTAAACAAATCCTACATTCCTTATCTTCTACAAATTCTTCATATTCTATGCTCTGGTATACTTTCATTAATTTTACTAAAGCATATAATCTTCAAATTATTTTTCACAAAGTTACTGCACACCAAGAAGACTGATTCAATAATATAGCTGATCAACTAGCTAGATGTTATCTTACTTCCGATTATCTTATTTTCAAATCTCATAATATTTATAATTCTAATTTTACTCTTCAATTTGACGAATACCCTCTAGAGCTACCAATCAGGCACACTATTCGTACTATCTGTCATGCACACATCTATGCTTTGTGGTCATCCCTAAACAGATTTCAACAATGGTCACAAATTATTCATCATATTAACTGGCCTGCTACATAGCTTTATATAAACAATAACCAAAAATTACAAATTTTTCACATAGTTTTTAATCTTCTACTCTTAAATCATTCTGAGTCAAAATTCTTCTTGATGAACTTCCTACTCCTCATATACTATATCAATGCAAGCACCAAACCTCACCAAATTGTTATCAATGCAATCAAATTAGTACTTCACTACATTGGGTTACTTGTCTATCACCAGCAATACTTTATAATCTTATTGATAGTTCTTTACAACAGATCATTAACTCTACATCTCTAGATATTGCACCAGAATTAGTTGCTATACTTCATAATCAAATTAAAAATCTTGATAGCATGACATTTCATCATAACAACTACATTCCATCTATCTACTCTACTCTGTCAGGTTTAGTACTCCTTGATATTATATATCTGCTTAAATATATTACATTATCTATCAAATCAGCTTCTACAATTACTATAAAAATTCTTTTATATCTTAATTCACAAATTTATCATAATATTTGGATACCTTATTGTATTTCTCATTCTTCAAATATATCCTGTAATAATACTTCATCTTCTTCACCTCCTGTCTCATCTCATATATTTTTTTCATCTTCTCAATCATCATCTCTTACTTTAGCTAGCAACAAATTAATATTTTGATATCCTTTATAGATCAAATACTAAACAAGTTTAACATATATAATTACTAATTCTCAAATCTAGGTGAGCCATGGCCACCCTAGTTGGTTTAGGCCACAGATAAACTAGTCTGAGTTTCTTTTCTTGTTATTTTAGGATATGAAGTTTAAATATATTCTTTTTATTGTAAGAGAATCAAATTAAATTTCAATAAAGATAGAGACATGGTCTTACCATTAATATCCAAAAAAAAAAAAAAAAAAAAAAAAAACAAATATTCAGATTATTTTTTGGATATCAATAGTAAAATAGATATTCAAATAAATTTAGATCTGGATATCCAGTAGATAAATGAATAAACAGATAATAGCATATTTGCAGATTTGTGGAATGGATCTAAATTAGGGCCTCTAGTTTTAATAATTGCAGACTGCATAATAGCTAAAATTTTGGATCAGTTTTACAATCACATTGTTAAAATATATAGACCTTAATTTATGTCAATTCTGCAAATTCGCCAATATGGATAGGAATTTTAATATAAAATTTAATAAATCAATTATTATTTAATGAAAGCTATATATACTATATATTACTATAATACTAATATATATTAGAAGTTAAAAGTAATATAATTCTTATACTTTTGTATACCTATTTATAATTTATATGAAGTAGAATATCAAGATAGTAAAATAAGAAAAAATATATAACTCTTTTACCTTTTGTATATCTTTATTTATCTAAAGTGCTATTAGCATATAAGTTGAATATTAGAATAGTAAAAGAAGAGAAAAAACATATATAATTCTTTTACCTTTGTATACCTTTATTTATCTAGAATGCTATTAGCATGTAAGTTAAATATTAGGATGATAAAGAAAGAAAAAACATATATAATTCTTTTACCTTTTATATACCTTTATTCTTCTAGAATACTATTAGCATATAAGTTAAATATCAGTATAGTATTAAAAAACAAAAGGTATACTATTTTTTATTTTTTTTTTACTATGATCAGCTTCATAAATAAATTAGTTATTTTATGGTAATTTCTGTATTTTATGATACGTCATATCTATATTTTATGAATAACAGCAATTTTATGATACGTCACATCTATATTTTATGAATAACGTCATTTTTTCAAAATTGTCATAAGTGTACAAAGAATTATATTAAGACGAATATAAAAAATAGCAAAGAAAAGGCTGTATAAATTGCTTTATTATAATTAGTTTTTTCAATTTACATAAATTACATTATAATTCAATATTGATTAATTGTAATATGATCGCCATTCAAATAATAATTATTAATGATCATAGTACCCCATTATTAGATGCATTTTGCAAACTGGATTGTGATGACCGCAACAGCCTTTTTCCACCAAGAGTTGGATTTTTTTTGGTCGCATTGACGTGAAGAGGCAAATTCGACTTTGTACTGTTTTTTAAAGGGCTACGAAATTCAGAATATACTGTGCTTTTTTGTTGCATATGGGAATCCGGATAGTTATCGGGCCTCTAAAATAAAATAAATTTATAAATTTAAATGTAATTTAAAGCAAATAAATAAAATTAAAAATTTTACCGGATGTTTGTAAATATAATTACTCAAACAATTATATACGTTAACTAATGATGAAGGAGTATAATCATTCCCATCTTGAATTTTTCGCACACCACAAAAAAATTCTGTCATTTCTTTTCAACCTGGTCTTTAATAGTGACCGTTTCAATACCATAACAATATCCAACATTATTTCGCCACCGATTTAAGGCTTTTACCCATTTTTTCGTAGCTTACGAGTATTTTCAAGAATGCAAGACTCGATTATCTCGTCAATTTCTGTATCGGTAGGTAAGTAATCACCATGGCCTTTAGCATATGATTTTCTTTTTTTGCTAACATACCAGTAAAATTAATTTAAATTTAATAACAAGTAAAAACTTCACTTTAAATACTAAATTATAACCTACTATCCAAAAAACTTGCTACGGGTTAAAGAAGTGCTATGGACTTGGATCAGCGTTGACAAGTACTATGGACTTGGATCAGCATTGGCAGGTACTATGGACTTGGATCAGCGTTGGCAGTACTATGGATTTGGATAAGCGTTGGCAGGTGCGTATTAATAGACTTGGAGCTTCGTTGGCGGGCTTTTATCTTCGTTACAGGTACTAATTGCAAGATTCAGTAAAAGCCTTTAAAAAGGCTAGACATATAATGCTATTGCTGTATTGATTATAATATACATTACCTGAGGGCACACACTTCAGGTTTGTCATTAAGGAGGCACAGGCCTCAAATTTTAAAATATATACTCTTGGGGGCACAGCGAAAGTATTAAAAGCAGTAAAAAAAAAGATTATCAGGTGAAAATCTATTTATACCATTGTTTCAAAAAGTCCACAATTACGTATTAATTAATTTTTGAATCACTAATCGTTGTAAAAAAAAAATAAATCCGTTATTGCATGCTAGGCAGCAATAACTGTCGTATCATGTGCTCAAAATCTACTGGCCCTTTCGCTCGCTAGAAAAGTGTGCAAGTATATGATCTGCCGCGAAGCGGCAAATCATGTACTTGCACACTTTTCTAGCGAGCGAAAGGGCCAGTAGATTTTGAGCACATGATACTTCACGTATTTTATGTTCTCTTCCTAATTGTTCGGTGACCCAGCCGTACCGGCTGAGATCACTGACCAATCAGAATCACCCATAAAATACTACAGTTATTGCATGCTTCGCATGCAATAACTATTTAGTATCTAATATCTATTTTTTAATTTACTATAATACTGATATCTGTTAGTTTATTATTATTCTTTTTTCAGAATATATATCAAGTAAATAATAGGACAACACAACATACCCATGTATATTAATAGAAACCAAACAAGACAAAATACTATATTTACTTCCAACAATTCACGACCAAGAATACTATACACCTACAGCTGCTGCTGTGGTTTGCCCGATTAACAACACATAGACAACAACTGTCTACCACTCGAAAAAGCAATTTAAAAAGTCTCAACATGGTTAACTACTTGGATAAAATATAGTATATCCACTAATAACATTATACATTATAGAATCTAGGTGAGTTTTTAACCACTCTAGTAGGTTTAGGTTGCAGATAAATTAGATAGTTAAATATCTATAGTCTGAGTTTTATTCTTGTAAAAAATTTGTAATCATTGGTCTTATAGACCAGAGAAACCCCTAGTGGATTCTCAACACAAATTATTAATAAAGATAAAGGCAAAACTTCACCTTAAAAAAAAAAAAAAAAAAAAGTAAATAATAGATCAATAAAGATATATCTCATTATTTAATCATTATTTATATATTTGATTTGTGATATTTTAACAGCTCTATGTAACTTTATAATTAATATATATACTAATTCTCATTCTATTATATCTAAATATTTTAAACTTAATTCATTTTTTATCAATCTTAATAAACTCTTTAAATTTAATACTTGGTCTCTATAGTTTATACTTCTTAATATTATTTCTTCATATAAAATAAAAATCTCATTTATTAAAGTTTTTGCCTATTCAGATTATATTTTTAATATTTAGCAGACTCATTAACTAAATAATATATACTAAATATATATTATATTTTATATATAATAATACTTATAACTCTTATCATATGCTTCAATAAGAAGTAAGCAATACTCTGTTGAACTTTCGTCTATTTTTTATTAAAAATATGTGAAGCTCAAATTTTGGCAATATGGTCTTCACAAAATCAAAATAATGAGTATTTTCTACTTAATCACTATATTGATTAAAGATCTACTTAGTTATACTTTACTATAATCAAAAACCTATCTTTAATACTATAAACTTCAAACTCAATCAATTTAAATCTATTAAAACCAAAATTTTACTTAATGAATTATCAATTTATTATTTTTATAACTTATGATATCCTAATATTTTCCTAAATACTAACTGCTTTCATTGTAGCTCTTCAGATTCATCATCACATTAAAATAAATACCAAAATCTTAAATTAGTTTATCAAATCATTACTAACAACATTACACAGTATCTTAAGTCAATTGAACTAAATCTTCTAAATAACTAGTTGGAAGAGCTTATTTATAAAATCTATAATCATAAAGCATTTTGCCAATTTATTTTTCAACTATATTAACATTATTTAAAAATTATATTTAAAGGTCTAATTCTTATATCATTAATTATAACTATTTAAAATTATGATATTCTATACAAAATTACTTCACAATCTATAATTAATACACTATTCAAAATAAATAAACAATTATACAAACAACTATGAAAATTCTACTATTCTAACTTTTCTCATTGAAGAAAACTAAACAAACTCAACTATTCTTATTCTAACAATTCAAGCCTAACATTACGATCTGAATCATCAAATCCTAGATAACAATCTAAATCTTTAAGTTAATCAAATATTTACTACAATGTAATATATACATATAATCTATACTTATTTGTATATATATAAAGAATCTATTTAATTACATACTTGGGAAACTCTTTCTGCTCATCATCTGTACACAAAATTTTGTCACAATAATTTTTACGTTTTTCTTACTTAACGGAAACTTTTATTAAATTAACAACCTTTTGTCTCTTAATAACATTTGTTCAGCTACTGTTTTTACATATACCTGTAAAATTTCAAGTCTGTATCTCTCATCGTTCTTGAGATATCCGATTTACAAGAACAGACGGACAAAACTCTGTTTTCTCCCCAAAGTTCTGCTGTTCCTGGCAAACTGGGCTTAATAATATACTGATACCTCATAATTGAATTTGTAGAGCTCATCTCTGGCTTCAAAACA